AAGGACCCCATAGGTATACCTTGAAATTTCTCTTTGAAATTTCATGAAAATAGCTTGTTTGTGTTACGAAATGAGATAACTTTAATCATTCAAGCTTAGGGTTGTTAATCTAGGGTTAATAAGTATTAATGAACATCTGTTTTAGGTCAAAACTGAACCTTGGATCATTGGGAGCCATTTTCACTTCGGTTTATGCAGAAAAATTCTGCAGAAACTGTTCTGCCCGCGTGGTAATCGATTACCTTTTGTTGGTAATCGGTTACCATGTGCAGTAATCGATTACCATGTTTTTAGTAATCGGTTACCATGTGCAGTAATCGATTATCATGTTTTTGGTAATCGGTTACCTAGTTCAGTAATCGATTACCATGTGCTTGGTAATCGATTACCACCTGTGAAAATGACCAGAAACCAGTTTTATGCGTGGGAAAGTCCCCTTTTGGGCATGATGGCCTAGGAAGTTGGTGTTACTGTTGGGAAACAGTGATACCTTTAATTGAGGGACTTAATGCTTGATGATTATGAACTAGAAAAGATGTAATCGAATAAGGAAATATTGTCATAATAAAATGAACCTTTAAAGTATGGTTATTGACGATATTTCTGATATAAACAGATTGTGATTGTACTGTTTGTGGGCATTGAGCTCGTGTGAGCTTGGCTTGGATAGTTAGCTTGCGAGGTAAGCTTTCGTGTCCTCGGTTTAGCCATTGTTTGTTCCACCATGTCCAATAGGGGGATGGTTATATGCGTGATGTGTTTTCATGTACTGCTTATTTGAAATGCTATGTAGCTGTTAAGTGCAATTGCTTATAATATGTATGTGGTGTTTCGCCTAGACAAGAGGCCATGGGGTGGTCCTGTGGGCGGGTACAGCATGGGCGTGTACCGTGTGGGTAATAGACGTATTCCTTTACTTCTCTGATCATTAGAATAGTTATAACACACATGACATGATTATCTGCTGCATAGTGGTTTTGGAACTTATATTGTTAAACTGCTTTTGAACTTATATTGCACATGTAAGTGAGCTTGGGGTGGAAGATCCTTGAGGACCCATCGTCTTACTGAGATTTCTTTTTAGAGATCTCACCCCACGTTTAGGGCACATATTTCAGGTCCAGGTAATGCGGGGGTTGAGACCTTTAGCGGCAGGAGGCCAAAGCTTAGCTGATTTATTTGCTGTTATGCTGATTATGTTGGATGCTGGATTATGTCTGTTGTTATTTTGCTATTAGCCTTATGAGTACGATGATTATTGTTGAGACTATGTTGGGCTTGTTGCCTTATTTGGTGAGCATGGGGATTGTCCATGCCACGTTGACTTGACTGTATGTTTTTAGTTGTTTCAAGTTGTATAATTGTACTAGGATTATGTCCGGACTACGTGATGTAGATCCGTGACTTAGATACTCCGTTATTTATATATTGAGGTATTTCAGTTAGCTGTATTTTGCAATTTACATACAGGCGATGTTTTTATGAAAATGATTAAGTAATCAACTTGGCTAAGTATAATGACGTCATAATTGAAAAGTAAAAGTTATTCCGCATATTTTAATTAAGCGTGGCTTAATACGATGACATGTTAACAAACCGGGTTAACAAGGGGTCAAGGACGAACGTAGCTCTATGAAATGGGCTTCATAAGTGATGGCTAATTGCATAGCCTGATGCAGGGTTGTGGGTCTATGTGATTGTATAGCTCTTCTGAATTCTGGTTGTAATCCAGAAACGAAAAAACACATTAACACTTAATGCATGTTTAAGATCTTCCCAATTCTGAATTGTTCCTCCGCTAAAAAGCCACTGGAACCACGGACCTGCCACACCCTCTATCTTCATGCCTGCCAACTGGACCTTGAGGGGCTCAGGTATTTGCTGCAAACCGAAATACAACTCCATCCTAAAAATCCAACTGGTTGGATCCTTCCCATCAAAAGAGGGAAAATCCATTTTTACTGACTTCATCACGTTTCTGGAATCATTTGGATCGAATCGAAATTGATTGGATCCTAGAGATTCATTGTTGACTCGCGGTGGAACGTTCTCACCCCCTCGATTCTCCGCTCCCACCACCGCTGCATGGATCTGTTGCAGTTGAACGGTGATTCTCGTGAGCTGGGTTTGATGGTCATCGAAACGTTGTTGAATCTCCTCCAAACTATGGTCCACCCGTGCTTGAAAGGAACCCAATTCTTCTGCTAACTTTTGGATTCTCATCTTCGATCTTCAAGTTTGATGGAGAATGAAAGCACCAATGATAAGAGTTTGTACCACTACTAAATAAATATGAATTAGGGACGAATTTTAGGGATGAAAAATATTCCATCTCTAATTGAAATGGAATTAGAGACAAAAAAACAATCTGTCCCTATTTGGGACAGAATTAGCAATGAAATAAGTTTTGTTTCTAATAGGGACGAATTTTGAGATGGAAAAATATTCCGTCCCTATTTGGGACGAACTTGGGGACGGAATACTGTAAATTTATATAATTTGTCCCTAATTCCGTCCCTTGCATAGGATTTGAAATGGGCAGGAGAAAGACACATGGATTAAGGATGACGTTTTTGCTAACATGAAAGAAATATGGTCTTCAGATGAATGGCAAAAAAAGTCTCAAAAAAACAAGCAAAATAGAGCTTGTTTTGAAGGAGCTTCCCATGTTGGAGGCTCCATTACATTTAGTGAGCACAAAAAAAGATTGGTAACTAATTTAAATTTTAAGTTTCAATAATTATAAACAATTATTCAATGTTTCTGTCATGTTTCATTGGATGAATTTTTGTATTGCAGATGGAAGACCCTGCAATAGATCCAAATTCAGTAGATTGGTTGCTATATGAGATGATGCATATAGTTAAAAAGGATGGTTCGTGGACTTCCCAGAGATCAAAGGAAGTTGCTGTAATTTTCTTTCCGTTACCTATAAAGTTATGGACATTGTTGACTTTAGTCACCTTTAGTATACTTGATAATAGTATTAAATGTGTGTCTACTTAAAATTATGATATGATTAAATTTTGCCTTATAAAGCAAATTTGGTTTCAGACTTGTAATCTTTGTAAGGTTCATTAAGTGATGTTGATAACTTGATTATGTTCGTTTAGTTGCTACCTTGAAAGCAACGTAAATACGTTCATTTGTAATTTATAGTTATCATAATGCATGATATTACTTGGTAATTTGCATAGATATGTTGGCAGAAAGTTATAGGTATGTTGCTACCTTTTATTGGAACACCCTTTTTTGAAATATCTATATGTTTATAGAATTGCCACATGTATTGATGACTAGTGTAATTTGTTTATTTTCAGGATAAATTCTTTGAGCGGAGGAATGAACATGATATGGTGATTGGAAATGATGCATCTACTGGCCAATCTGATAATGAATTATTCCTGCAGACGGTTGGAGGTATGAGCAAAAAGGGCCGCATTTTTGGTTTAGGTTCAGAGGCGAGTAAATACAAGGCTTCACAGAAGTCTGCTAGTTCGTCTCAAGGAGTCTCTGCAAATGAGTATAATCGTATGAAAGACCTAGTGACAGCCATTTCCACCCAAAATCAAGAATTGCACACAGAGATGGCTGTTATGAAAGAGCAGTTGAAGACTTTGATGGCTCATGTCTCTATGCCCACTGCTACACCTCCTGCTCGTGAGGCACACAATGAGGTTCAAGTTGGTGATGATGCGGAAGATGATGTCTATGATGCTGAGTTACATGAAGATAATTGATAGTTATTTTATGATCTTTAAATATATTTTGTGATGTTATAAAAAAAAAAAATATTTTGTGAACAATACTTATTAGTTGATTTTGTAGTTTGATACATTTGTTATTTTTGCTTTTATGATACTTTTTATCATTAAGACTTTTTAGCTATTTCATTATGACTATGATGGCTTGTATGGTTATAATTGTTATAAGTTGCAAACTAGCTTTGATTGGTTATATAACTTTGATGATTTATATTATCATGATTATTAGGTATAAATTTAGTTAAAAAAATTCGAAATATTTTATTAAATATATTTTGAAAGTAGGGATGTAAATAGGGACGGAAAAATTTTGTTCCTAATATTTTGAAAGTACGGATAACAATAGGGAGGGACAAAATCCGTCCCTAACAGGGACGGACAAAAGTTTTGTCCCTACTAGGACGGACAAAATCCGTCCCTAATAGGGACGCACAAAAATTTCATCCCTAATAGGGACAGAAAAAATCTGTCCCTAATAGGGACGCATAAAATCCTTCCCTAATTCTGTCTCTATTAGGGACGGATTCCTACCTTTTACAACTCTCCATTGTTGACAATATTAGGGATGAAAAACACATGTCAGGGACGGATTTTACTCCGTCCCTATTAGGGATGGAACTAAAGTTACATCCCAAAATGTAACACCCTCCCTTGTAGGCCTCCAAGAGAGTTGTTTGCTAAGCGGATTATAGTTCTTTAATCATATATTAAGGACTGAAAAATTATTTTTAAAAGGCCAATTAAAAACTTATAATTGAAATCGGGTTCCTTACAAAAATCAGAGTACGCAAAATTTCTTAACTTACTAAAAATATAAATTTCCTGACAGACCTTGCTGTCTTTAAAAATTCGTATAAAATCCATTTCAACGATTCAAAAAAATATTCTTTGTAGTCTAGAAACTAGACATCTGGGGCTTTACGTTCATATAAAATAATAGTGATTTGAAATTCAGTTGCCCCTCGAAACATAACTCGCAAAATAAGGGGTAAAACAGTGACAATATCACAAACGTCCTGGCTGGTAAAATTCATAATAAATCGAGCTTTCAGAATTTCTTTGAAAGGTTTATATGAAATGAAACTAGACACCTGGGGCTACGCGTGCATATAAATTATAGGAAAATCGGAGGTCCGTAGCCCCAGCACGCTAACTTGCAAAGTGCTCGCAAAACAGTTTACACTTAGCTTTCAAAACATCAGAATTCAATTTTCGTAAAACGTTTCTAAAATCCGTTTCCAAGATACTTGCTGGTCATAAAATCATAATGCAATAATAAAATCATAATTCACAGTAATATAAGCTTCTCAATTTCATACAGTCATCCATAAAATTAATACAATCACAGTAACATGCCCAACAGTAGAAACCAACAGCAAATATCCAAGTCCTCATACGCTTTTGCGTCCTCCTGCCATTATATAAAAATAGCAGCCCCAAAGGGGTGAGAGAAATCCCAGTAGTGTGGCAACAAAACCAATAATGCAACAGTATTAAACTAGACACAAAATTATAAACAGTCGCTTCAAACATGAAATCCTTTTCATCATATATCCTTTTCATCATATATCATATTGCGTATATAACGCCTTCATCACGCTCATAGCACTGTCGTGCGCGTGCCATCACAGTGGAAATTCCATGCACGACACCATCATTTGGGGAATTACACTGTGGCCTATGCGGACTGACGCCAACTGTCCCAGTACCCTGATATCAAGGGATGCCTATATGATGCGTGCTCAATCACATGGTCCTATATATATAACTATTCTAAGACTCAAGAATAACATGAATTTGGTACATGCTATGCTGTCACACACAAACAGAAAGACAAGTGCGGTATGATGTACGGTGCATGCATATATCATCATTTCATAACATATACTTCATGTACATTGGATGCCATACTGCCAAGCCATTCTTTCTTTTCATAACAGAATTTCCATAATCATAACATTTCCATAGGCAGAATAATTTCATCATTTATGGCAGAATAATCATAAGGCACATGTGAGCAACAATTCACAATTCATACACTAGTCAATAGTCACATCAGGTAATATCGCCTAACACATACCTTGTGTGCCCAAATATAAATCAAACAACAGCGAACTCAGTCCACATTCAAGGTTTATGCGCACCTAATCAAGTGCAAACCAGTCAGAATTTTATTCAATTTTTCTATCATTCATATGCCATTTCTATGCCTTCCAAGTTCTTTCATTTTAATTGGTTTAACATGCTTTTTAGACTAACCAATTCCTAACTTCACATTAATGTACTGATTTATTAACAGTAATAAAATCCTAGGTCCCCACACATGCAGATTCGGTTTCTTAAGGAGAGGAGGTGGTAGTGATATTTTTGTCACACAACCATTTCTTCAAAACCTACGGTTGTATTAATTAGGGTTTTTAGACATGCTGCCCCATTGAATTTACAATAGGCAAGGCTAGATGCAACACATAACCCAACACAACAGCCCAACACTTACACCAAAGAGCTATTTTCCAAGCTCACCCTTCGGTTTTCATGGTTCCTAACTTAGATTCCATTTCTGACTCAGGTTTAGCTTTACCAATTGTTAACTAAATTAACACTTCTTAGGCATACAATTTCGGCTTTGAGCAGCAGCAACTAGGAGTTTATTATTTAGTCATTCATCTACCCTTTTCTACAAAGGCCCAAGGGCGCTAGGATAATCCAAAAGCAATGCTGTCTTCGTTTGTCATAACACCTGCTAAGCCTAATTACTCTTCTTAATTCAAGGCCAGTTCCAAATCCCACGATGAGTCATACTTCTAGTGCGCAAAAGTTTCAGTTTTCAGACTTGCACATATTAGGACCGTGGCTGTTCAAGGGAGCAGAATTAATAAAATAAAACAACACAAGGCTACTCCTTAACACACTTGCAAGCTAAGAACGGCCGGAAACTAGGGGCACACATTTTACTTATTCACCAACTAATTCCTACAAAGCTCAAGTGGGATTAAACAAGGTCTAAAACTGGCGGACCATACAGTTTTAATGCAGTCAAATTTTAACCAAATATTCCAATTCAAGGCTGGTCTAGCACCATAGGGAGGCCATGGTTCAAGTCTACAAATTTATTTTTAAGCTTACAAGCATCCAATCTTAATGTGGTCCTAAGGGATCAGACTTAAAAGGAGAGGAATAACCAAAATATCATCTTCTCTTACATGAAGGTGGGAACCAAAACATTAAAACAGGGAATAAAATGGCAACACCATTATTCTTCTAAATCATTAATATAAACCGAGCAGTGAGGGAGTAAAAATAGCAACAACAAAAAATTTGTCTCCCATGAGTCCCATGCCAGCCGAAACAATGAGGAAGGGGAAAAGAAACTTGAAGCTCACTTACCAATTCCCATACGCACCAATGCCCACAACCAACAGAGAGCAGCCCCATTACTTTTCCTATATTCTAAAGGTTTGAATCCAGTTACATGCAAGGGAAAGGATGGCTCTGGTACGGCTGGTACAAAAACATGCAACGAAAAGAAGAGTACACTTCAGGCCAATCGAGTAGAAGGGGCAAGAAATGAGATGTACGACCTACCTCCTTGTGTGTGGTGTCCAGCCGAACAAGAACAAAAGAAAGACCAGATAGTTCCCCCTTGTTCGAAAGCTCACGGCCCAGCCATGAAGAGGAATGAAACTTGAAAGTTGGAAGATGAATCTGCCCCTAGTGGAGGTCACGGTTTTAGGGGACGATGAGGATAGGGTAGTGTTTCTGATTTTTCTTTGTTAAAATGAGACACAACCGATTTGTCTCTTTTTGTTCTCTACCTCACGCCTAGAGAGATGGTGAGGATGATGACCAGCTTTCTCTTTTTCTTTCACGGTTCAGGGAAATGTGAGTGAATCAATTTGAGCCATCAATTCCTTGTTCAAAAAAAATATTCAGCCGTGACACAGCTTGGAGAACAAAAAGCTTCCCTTAGCTTAGATGCCGAACATGCAAGAGGAGAGGGGAGATTTTGTTTGACACATGCTCAATATTCATTGGCTAGTTGGGTTTGGAGGATAAGACATGAAATCAGAATTGTTTACTCCATCTTATGCGCATGAAGGGATAAAAGGAACAAGTGGTTGATTCTAGACCAAATATAGGCTAACACGTAGGTTTTGTTTGGGATAAGATAAATAATCATGTGGAGAAAGTATTTGGGGCTTGGGCCGTGGCCCTTAATGGGAATGAGTTCAAACTATATAAGTCGCATTGTTCTCCTATTTTGAGAATTAACCCTTGCCTTGTTATTTTATGTACCTCCAATGGTTATCTAAAGGTTTTTTATGTAATAAAATTACTCGCATACCTTTAATGAGTAATCATATAATTCTAAGTAGAGTTATGCCTTCTATGTGTTATAACTAAATTATCCCCATACTTATAATTAGAATTTCTCATGCATAAAATAGGTACTCACCTTCCATGGTAATACCAATAATTCCCTAATTTAATGTAACTTTGTCCTAAAGCAAACATTTATATAATCCGAAGGCAAGTACTCTACCACATTCCTAATTGCAATTTAACTAAATTCTTAATTAGACGGGATGTTACACAAAACATTAGCGAGGAACGATTTAGGGACGAAAATTGTTCCGTCTCAAATTCCGTCTCTAAATAATTTAGGGACGAATTTATGGCTTTTAGGGACAGAATTTGTCCGTCCCTAATACCAGTTTTTTTAGTAGTGTACCCTTAACAGAGGAAGAGAAACCGAATAACAAACAAGAAACTTTTTTTTTCTCAATGAATCGTATCAGTTACAATAGCTGTCATTTTATTACAAGGATAGCAAGACATGAATGTCCAAACAATGCCACGTCACGTTTTTAATGACTATATCAATGGCTACAATATTATTCCCTTAACCTTCTACTCCCTTCTAATACACTCACTGTAACTCTTTTATACAATTGTAGGCAAAAAAATTAAAATATTGTATTTAAATAAAATAATTACGCATTTAATGTTGTTTCGTAAAAAATTACACATCTACTGCACAATGTGACACCAGTTTTGGGCGTCACATGTGACGCCCCATTGGGGCGTCTTATCCATGGGAGAGACGCCCCAATGGGGCATCACATGTGACGCCCAAAACTGGCGTCACATGTGTGCTCTATATATTTCCTCACCCCCTCCATTCAATTCACACCTCTTCTCTCACTCTTCATATCTCTCTTCTCCACCAACATTCCTTTATCTTTAATTTAGTATTTGAATTTTAGTTGTAATTCTATTTAAAAATGAGTTCAAATCCTGATTCTGTTCGTGTTGTGTTATATTACAATGGTAGGAAGGTAGAAGGTCGACGAGGTGTCATATTCGAAGGTGAAAAAAGGCCGACACGTATCCAACGCAACACAACCATTGGCGAATTGCATCAGAGAGTTCGGCAGAAGTTAAGTCTTCAAGACAACCAATGTATCACTGAGATCACGACAATGGTGTGGCAAGGTGATAAATACATTAGTTTGAAAGTGCTTGACGATGAAGACTTGGAGATGACAATGGAAGAATTTTGCAACCAGTCAAGGACAGATTTTCTAGAGTTGTATGTCGACATCGTTGCAACGGAGAATGCTCGCATACCGGTGAGGTCAGTTTATTTAAATTCTCCCCGTCTTCCAGCTTCTCCTGCCGCTCATGCGTCTCCAGTTGGTATCTTTTCTGAGGGAGATGAAAATGATCCGACTTGGGAAATGCACGACGAAGATGACGATGAAAATATGGCAATGGAAGAACATCTTCTGGCGGAGGATGCTAGTGCTTCAGAAGGAGATGAATCTCGTGAGATGGGTGCGTCTGAAATTCCAATATTCCATCAACCAGTCGTCGCGCAAATGCCGCAGTTGAATGACGTTGCGTCTGCTCCGTTTGGTATTCCACAAGAAGGTAATTGTTCCCATTTGTATACTGCGTGAATAAATAACTGATTTAATGTTGCCTGAATTAGTAGTAAGTTCGTATTAAAAAATTATAACCCGCAATTGCAGGTGACACAGATGTTATTCCTTTTTGGGAAGGAATTCCGCATTATTCTTACATTGATTGGAGTTATCAGAGCGAACAAGAATCATGTACTGATGGTTCGGTGTCTGGATCGGCTTCAATACAAGGTCCGTGGCAACTGGGTGACATGTTATTTGTCAATCAAGAATTTGCGACAAAAAAAGATGTCCAAATGGCACTTAAGCACAACCTTATTAGGGAGCATCAAGAAGCCATTGTAATTGAGAGCACGCCTGCAAAGTTGTCCATGAAATGTTGTGCGTACGATCAAGGTTGTCCGTGGCGCGTAAGGGCGATCAAACCGGTGTTTCGTGAAAATTGGAAAATAACGAGATGGGGTGGAAAACACGAATGTGTGAATGAGCACATTTCCCAGGGTCATAGACAGCTTGATGCGGACGTTATTGCAGATCTCGTGATAGGTACCTTTTTGTATTTTAAATGTGTGATTGACCACAAATGTGTAATTAAATTCGTTCGATGTTATCGAGGCACTGATATCCTCTTCAATGCAGGGATGATAAAGTCTGAACCATCTGTGTCAATCTCTTTGGTGCAAGAAAGGATAACTGCTAAATATGGCTTTCAAGTTTCGTACAGAAAGGCGTGGTATGCGAAGCAGAAAGCGATGGCAATTCTGTACGGTGATTGGGAGGAATCGTATGCTTTTTTACCAAGGTGGTGCGAATACATGCTTCGCTTTTCTCCAGGTTCATTTCATCATATACAAACTAATGATCTTTATGCCGAGCAGAGCTTAGTTTCTGGAAAAAAGATTTTTCATCGCATTTTTTGGACGTTTAGACAGTGTTGTGAGGCGTTCAAATTTGCCAAACCCGTCATCCAAATTGATGGAACACATTTATATGGAAAGTACAAAGGGAAGTTGTTGGTGGTCACAACCCAAGATGGTAATAATGAATGTTTACCGATCGCATTTGCCATCGTAGAAGGCGAAACTTTGGAAGCATGGGATTATTTTCTCGTTAATATTCGTGCTCATTTGACTACGATGTCAAACATATGTTTAATATCCGATCGGCATCGAAGCATAATATCTGCTGTGGAAAATAACCCTACTTGGCAGCCGCCAAATGCGTATCACGTATTCTGTATTCGTCATATTGCAAGCAACTTCAATCAAAAGTTTCGAAATGAAGATTTGAAGCGGATGTTAAAGAATTTAGGTATACTCATTGACTGAATGCTTAATTATTTCTTTCCATTATGACTGTCAATTTATGTTTAATTCGTTTATGTCCAATTTGTGCAGGTTATACTCCAGCAATGGTTGATTTTGAAAGGAATCTTGCGAGTTTCCGTGAAAGTAGTCCTCAAATTGCTGAGTGGATAGATGCGATTCCTAAGGAAAAGTGGTCGCGTGCCTACGATATTGAAGGACGGAGGTACGGTCATATGACAACAAATTTGGCTGAATCTGTCAATAGGGTTTTGAAGGGGGCCAGAAATATGCCTATAACAACATTGGTTAAGCATACATATAGCAGATTGGTTGCATATTTTGTTGAGAGAGGAACAAATGCTCTTGCACAACTTCAATCAGCTCATCATCACTCCAAACATGTTGTTGAATTGGTCAAGAAGAACCAGGTAGATGCAACAGGCCACCACGTTCGTGCATACAATGTTGAACATACTGTATTCGAGGTTGACGCAGGTTGGGAACGTTCATATTCTGTCAACCTCCCACAGAGATACTGTCAGTGTGGAAAGTTTAAGGCCTTTAAGTATCCATGTAGTCACGATGTTGCTGCTGCGTTAAGTGTTAGGCAGAGTGCGTTCACTTACGTTGACGACGTCTTCTTGATAAATAACTTGGTCGAGGCTTATTCTTTTCCGTGGGAGCCAATCGGAAACGAGGAAGCAATACCTGAAATTAGTGGTGCAAAGATTATTCCTGATTGTACTATGTTGCGTGCAAAAGGTCGTCCAAAGTCAACTCGCATCCGCAACGAGATGGATGAAGTTGAGACAAGCCAGAGCCGTATCAGGTGTGGACTTTGCAAGGAACGCGGCCATAATCGTTGGCGATGTCCAAGTCGTGGGAGAAACGAATGATTTGCATATTATGTTCATATTGTTGCTGTTGGTTATGTTATTGCATGAATTGTAATGTCCGTTATGTTGGACTTTTTACTTTCCGTTTATGTATGTTTTTAAGCTTGAATTATTAATTAGCTGATGCTGTTAGTTACCGTAATATAAATCCGCAAAGAACGATAACCAAAACATAGTGAATAGTCCAAATAATATAATAATGTAGCGTCCACAATATAACAACATGCTACACTCATATGACATATACAAAAGAACAAAATAATAACAATATGAAACAGTCCACAACATAATGAATAAACAAAATGTCAATGAAACTAGGACCACGGTGGCCATGGCCTATGTCGTGCATCCCTATCTGGTAGTATACGTCTGTCCCAGACTGGGTCACCCTGATGGTCCTGTGGAGGTGGAGTGTGGAAGTCATCCATCGCCGCACGGATGAAATCATCTGATGGTCCTGCACTGCTGCCCGGCACATCAAAAGGGGTGTGTCCCTGACTGTGAGAATCCGTGGCTAGAGTCTCCCCACTGTCATGGCTCTCTGCAACAAGGCCTACAGAGCGATACAACTCCATCGTGTCCTCTGCAGACCAAAAGGGGTAATCGGCATCAAGTCCCTGTGAATAGGGCTGGAAATCAGGCTGTGAGGATGCCGGATCCGCTCCTGCCATAGCCATCGGACTAGCCTGGAAAACTGGCTCCTGCCCGCTCATGTAAGGGTGCTCAGACGCCGCCTGACTAGGACCTGCCGCATACTGCGATCCGTGATGATAAATCGGCTGTGACCCGTAAGTAGGACCAAATGCTGGAGGTCTAAACCATCCCTGAGTCTCGACCACTGGTCTAGGTGCTATAATCGGGACAGGCTCAGCAGCAACTCTCTCACGTGTACGTCCTAATCCCCGTCCCTCCCGTCTATTACGAGGAACATCCACGATCAACTGAGGATCAGGCTGAGTCTGCACGGGGGGTGCCTCAGGTCCAGGCTCATCAACTCGTGAACTCTCACGAAACATCCCAATAATTCGGCCTATCTCCTCGTGGATATACTGTAGTCCAAATCGAGGAAACTCCTCCGCCGTTGTTGCATGATACAGCATTTCAAGACCGTCAATCTGCATATTACGAAAAAATGTTAGTTGTAATTTGAAACAAATGTAAAATAAGTACAAAACTCACCATGCGCCCTATCTTTGCTGCCCTCCGTGATATGTAGCGCTTTCCCCTCTCTCTGAACCACTCCATGTACTCATGATTAGGTGACATCAAACCATATAATGGAGGTGGCAGTACAATATGCTGAATCCTAGTATTCCATCGATCAATGTGAGCCCTGAGCTTACGTCTCCAGTTCTCTTCAACCTTCCCCCGTAGAGTATGATCATGTATTCCTCTCAATTTTCTAGATTTTTCTGGGATGGGTTGATTAAGACCAAACTGTCGCATGCACCTATCCGGTTGACATGCCTCAACTGTGTGGAAGTAGATAATAGGTGTGGGAGCTAGCCACAGATACTGCTGCTCTGGAGTCACGTCAAGCCA